CCCCCCGCTGGCCCCGCGCGGCGCTGCAGCCCCGGCCCCTCCGGGACCCCCATCCCAGGAACAAACACCCCAGGGCTTGGAACTCGCAGATCCATGTCTTGTTTTTGTTTGTTTGGGGTTTTTTTAAAGAACAAAGCTCTTGCAACGTATTTATCTGCAAAGACAAAAAAAAAACCAAACCCAACAAAGCCACCCAGCTTGCGCTAGGCCGAATATTCCTGTATTTTATTTGTTTTTCACGTGTGCAGCAGCAATTAGCACCAGCTCATCATTAAATCCTCAAGCAGGTGAGCCCACGCGTAGTTCTCTTGGATCTGCCCTTAGCTTTGCCAGAGGCAGGGGGGGCCTTATCTTGTGTGAGCCGAGGGGTCCCGCGGGGCGGAGGCCGTAGGGTGGGAGCAGCTCTTTGCAGGTGGGTAATTTCGGATCCAAGGCCAGAGGAGCTTTACTGCTGCAGCTGAAGCATCACATCCAGCGAGGACTCATGCTACAGAAATACTCCAGCAACAGTGGATGCAAGAAGTGGCTTTGCTGGTCCCATCCTGCCTGCGAGACAGGCACTGGGCATGTGGGCAAGTTCAGCCCATGGATCAAGTTCTCTGTGACCTGGGCTGGATCACAACTGTTTCTGTGCCAAGACAGCCCAAGCCCAGCTGCAGGACTGGGGACATAGACACCAGCACAGGAAGCTGCTGGTTTTAGCTCCTGTGCTCATCCTGCCTAGTAAGAGGACAAGGTCACAGGGCTGTCCTAGACAATTACAATGGTTTCCCTACTATGACAGTATCTGTATCACACACAGTGCAACCACTCCTCTGGTCCAAGAGAGACCAGAGACTTCCCACATTTTGTTTTGGCCTTGCTAGAAGCACCAGCACTGTCCCCTTTGGCTTTCCCAAGGGCTACCCTGGTTCCTACCCTGGTTCCTGGTTGGAAGCAGGGAAGGCAGGTGTGGTAGGCAAGTACTGATCAGCAGTTAGACAAGAATATTCCTGGGATTTGGGCTTTTTTTACACTGAAGAGTGACCCCAGCCCATCCACCCCCAATTAACATCCACCCCAGATGCTCCAAGACCTCCTTTCAGAAATCTGCAATAGTTTCATCAAAGCCTGCTGAGACCATCATTACTTTCATGATTGTACAGAGCTTCCTTCACCTCAAAAGCCCAGTTATCTTTCTTTGTTAATGTTCAAGGAAAGGGCCAAGATCCTGCCTGCTCCCTTCCCACATGCAGGCAGGATGAGCAGGGAGATGTGATGGTTCCAGCACATCCAGCAGAGCTGACCCTGGACATCTGAGCAGGCAACAGGGACAACTGTCTGTCAGGAGCCAAGTGACAGGTCAGATGTACCATTGAGTTTTTTGGCAAGGCTCATGCCAGCCACCCAAAGCAAGGAGAGAGCCAGCAGGCTAAGAAAAAGGGTTCTGGACTGAAATCAGTGGAACGCAAGGTCATGGCACAGAACTGGGGCTTTAAAAGTCACCACTGTCCTCTCCAACATGTACAAAGGCTGAAGCAACCCCCAGCAGGCTCCAGGTACTCTGGGAAGAGACATCACTGAAGGGACAGTACCCAGAGTTGATTTGTGGAGTAGTCCAGTCACATCAAGGGGCAATAAAACCATAAGTGACTCAGGACAGCAAGCCCCATTTGAGTGAGATGAACAGTGGCTTTTAAAAAGATCACTAAATCCCATCAGTGCTACATATACAAACCTCATTTATTTTAAAGGCTCCTATTAAAGTGCCTTTTATTCCTAGCAAGACAGTTTTAAATTGCAAAACAACTTCTCAGATCTGCCAGTGACTGTTTTCGTTCCTGCTG